GAGAAGTAGAGTCATTTCCTCATAGACGTCTATGGGAGCAGAGGAGTCGCCCCCTGCTGGTCACTACAGAGAAGTAGAGTCATTTCCTCATAGACGTCTATGGGAGCAGAGGAGTCGCCCCCTGCTGGTCACTACAGAGAAGTAGAGTCATTTCCTCATAGACGTCTATGGGAGCAGAGGAGTCGCCCCCTGCTGGTCACTACAGAGAAGTAGAGTCATTTCCTCATAGACGTCTATGGGAGCAGAGGAGTCGCCCCCTGCTGGTCACTACAGAGAAGTAGAGTCATTTCCTCATAGACGTCTATGGGAGCAGAGGAGTCGCCCCCTGCTGGTCACTACAGAGAAGTAGAGTCATTTCCTCATAGACGTCTATGGGAGCAGAGGAGTCGCCCCCTGCTGGTCACTACAGAGAAGTAGAGTCATTTCCTCATAGACGTCTATGGGAGCAGAGGAGTCGCCCCCTGCTGGTCACTACAGAGAAGTAGAGTCATTTCCTCATAGACGTCTATGGGAGCAGAGGAGTCGCCCCCTGCTGGTCACTACACGGAATGCATGAAGCGTTACGTGTGTTGTAACACAGTATATTTAGGTTTACTGAGGAAAACAAAGTCGTTATTATTTTCATTTTAATTTGATCAAATTCAGACATTTGACTCTCTAATTGCAAGATTAAGCTCAAAGGCTAAAAAATATGAAATAACACAAACGAATTAGAAAAATAATAGGAAATAGCAATAAAAACATGTCCGCTCTCTTTCTTTTGCTTCCCTTCCACACGTTTGTTGTTGCTGTGTTTGCCCCCCTCTCTTAACCCCCCCGCCGCTCCCCCTGCCGGCCACCTCGGTGCGCCGTGTGGGCAGGTTCACCCGTTGCCAGGGGTTACTGCATCCTGGAGGTGTCGGGTTTGTCTGGTGAATACTGAAGCTCCGCATTCGCCACCTCCAATGAGAAAGAAACAGAAAAAAGAGCCAACATAAACAGAGAAAATCAACGACAAACATTTGAAATGCGTTGAATAACAACAGCTACATTAGTACACCGAAGTATATCTAATATATAATCCATAACCTGGGGGGCAGAGGGGAGAAGAACCGCGATCCTGTTCTCTAATCGTGTTTTTAGTCCTGCTTCCTTTCTGTGTTTCTCTTTTTGGGTCTTTTCTCTCGTCCTGCAGCTGTTGTGATGCTCAGTCAGCAGCAGGTTGTTAAGTGACAGTGAAAACAGTGAATTTAATCATGATTCTGTCCGTTTGTTGGTACTTTAGGCGTCGCAGCTTTAAACAGGACAACGCAGGCTGTGACCGTGATGTCTTAATCAGGTCATTTTAAAATACATTTATCTAAGTGACGTTCTCTGTTTCGCCTCCCTCTCCCTCTCCCTCTCCCTCTCCCTCTCCCTCCCTCTCTCTCTCTGCAGTATTTTGTCCTCCGTGGGGTCTCAGCTTGACCTCAGGACCCTCCGAGCCGTCCGAGTGCTCCGACCGCTGAAACTGGTGTCTGGGATTCCCAGTAAGTGTTTTCTTCTTCACTCCAAAATATGACAAACCCATGCGTGTGTTTACTAAAGCCACTTGCCAGTGCTGCCCTTGTTTCTCTAACCCACTGACTGCTTCAGTACTTGAAGGCACCCCGTCACCTGACGCTCCTCTGCGTGTGTCCTCCAGGCCTGCAGGTGGTGCTCAAGTCCATTATGAAGGCCATGATCCCCCTGCTGCAGATCGGCCTGCTGTTGTTCGTGGCCATCCTCATGTTCGCCATCATCGGCCTGGAGTTCTACATGGGAAAGTTCCACACTACCTGCTACGACAAGGTCACACGTAAGAACCCGCAAACGACCACACGGAAGACAGCAATGACAGCATGAAAAGTCCGTGTGAAAAGTGTGTATTTGATCTACATGTATACATGTATACCTCTAAGGCTTCATGGGTCCTTAGTCTTGCTGGTCGAAGGCGGCAAAGGTTTGTCTGCGTTATGGCGATCACGCAAGACGCCCCTTACGCGTCACACCGGTACCTGTTTGAGCCCGTGACCAGCTCTTCCCCACCTTTCACCAGGGGAGGTGGTGGACAGCTTGCCGTGCGGCACCGAGCTGCCGTCGCGGCTCTGTCCCAACGGCACCGTGTGCGAAGGGCACTGGATCGGACCCAACTACGGAATCACGCAGTTCGACAACATCCTGTTCGCCGTGCTCACCGTCTTCCAGTGCATCACCATGGAGGGGTGGACGGACATGCTCTACTACGTGAGTTTGTTCTGTTTACAGGACGGACGTGGAGGAGTTTCATATGAGATCACGTTTCATCTACTACGCGCAACCTGGTTCACATGTTGTCAGCGATTCTTTTCATGGTGACAGAGAATCGGCCATCAGACACCAAACATCCGGTCACCTTTTCCAACATGTTGTTTGTGCTCTCTGGGAGGCGCGTCGGGTTTGCACTGAAGCCCTTTCAGCACCCTGAAGGAGTCCGGAGGGCTGGCAGGTGGGGGCGGTGGAGGGTTTGGTGATTGGCTTGAATCCCATTCGGCCCGATGAGGCATAAAGTAGTTTGAGATTTGATTCAAAACACCATTTATTTGTCTAAAAGCCATTTTCCGTCCCACTCGCTTCCCTTTTATCCGTCTTCTCATCCGTCCTTTTCCCTGCTGTCGGAGTCGCCGGCTCGCTCTCCTCCTCCCTCTCCTCCTGCTTCTCCTCCGCTCTCTATTCTGGGCCGTCTCGCTCTATATTTAACATCTTTTCTGATGGATGGAGGCCCACTTGCACACTCACACGGGCAGTGAGGAGAAAACCAATGAAAGTTTAATAGAGAACGCCGAGCAGAATAAAACACGTGCACACAAGCGGTAATAACCAGCTGATGGTTTGAGACCGGGGACACAAACCGGCCCGGTAACCCGATTCTCCCACTGTCACATCGTTAGAGAGGCGTGTCAATCAATCACCAGGCTCACCAGACACCTCAGTGATCGATGTTTGTGAGAGCTGCAGTTCTAGTAGTAGGTGTAGTAGTATAGTATAGTCATACTAGTACAGTGTAGTAGTAGTATAGCAAAGTTATACTAGTATAGCGTAGTAGTAGTATAGTGTGGTTATACTAGTATAGTGTAGTAGTAGTATAGTGTGGTTATACTAGTATAGTGTAGTAGTAGTATAGTATGGTTATACTAGTATAGTAGTAGTATAGTGTGGTTATACTAGTAGAGTATAGTAGTAGTATAGTGTGGTTATACTAGTAGAGCGTAGTAGTAGTATAGTGTGGTTATACTAGTATAGTGTAGTAGTAGTATAGTATGGTTATACTAGTATAGTGTAGTAGTAGTATAGTGTAGTTATACTAGTATAGCGTCGTAGTAGTATAGGTAGGGCTATACTAGTATAGTAGTAGTATAGTGTGGTGCTACTAGTAGAGTGTAGTAGTAGTATAGTGTGGTTATACTAGTATAGTGTAGTAGTAGTATAGTGTGGTTATACTAGTAAAGTGTAGTAGTAGTATAGTGTAGTTATACTAGTAGAGTGTAGTAGTAGTATAGTGTGGTTATACTAGTATAGTGTAGTAGTAGTATAGTATGGTTATACTAGTAAAGTGTAGTAGTATAGTGTAGTTATACTAGTATAGCGTAGTAGTAGTATAGTATGGTTATACTAGTATAGTAGTAGTATAGTGTGGTTATACTAGTAGAGTGTAGTAGTAGTATAGTGTGGTTATACTAGTATAGTGTAGTAGTAGTATAGTGTGGTTATACTAGTAAAGTGTAGTAGTAGTATAGTGTAGTTATACTAGTATAGCGTAGTAGTAGTATAGTATGGTTATACTAGTATAGTGTAGTAGTAGTATAGTGTGGTTATACTAGTATAGTGTAGTAGTAGTATAGTGTGGTTATACTAGTATAGTGTAGTAGTAGTAAAGTGTGGTTATACTAGTATAGTGTAGTGGTAGTATAGTGTGGTTATACTTATATAGTGTAGTAGTATAGTCTGTTTATACTAGTAGAGTGTAGTAGTAGTATAGTGTGGTTATACTAGTATAGTGTAGTGGTAGTATAGTGTGGTTATACTTATATAGTGTAGTAGTATAGTCTGTTTATACTAGTAGAGTGTAGTAGTAGTATAGTGTGGTTATACTAGTATAGTGTAGTGGTAGTATAGTGTGGTTATACTTATATAGTGTAGTAGTATAGTCTGTTTATACTAGTAGAGTGTAGTAGTAGTATAGTGTGCACAAGAACATCTGAAGTGAAGCGCGTCTTAATGAACGCGCGCCTCCTTCACGTCTCAGACGTCATAGCGGTTATTTCTCCTGCAGAGTAACGACGTGGAGGGCAGCGCCTGGAACTGGATGTACTACATCCCCCTCATCATCATCGGCTCCTTCTTCATGCTCAACCTGGTGCTGGGTGTGCTCTCAGGGTACGGACCCCCGCCTCCCTCCTGCTCCATGCGTTTTATTGAAAATAAGATTAACGTTAACGATGTGCCTCGCAGAGAGTTCGCCAAAGAGAGGGAGCGCGTGGAGAACCGGAGCGAGTTCCTCAAGCTGAGGCGCCAGCAGCAGATCGAGAGGGAGCTCAACGGGTACCTGGAGTGGATCTGCAAAGCCGGTAGGCACACACACACACACACACACACACACACACACACACACACACAAACTTCATGCAGAAATAACCTCCTGCAATGTGACTTTCATATCTAGAAGAAGTGATCCTGGCGGAGGAGGACGGCACAGTGAACTTTGATGGTAACTTCTCTTCTCTTCTCGCTTATTTAGGATGTGCGGGTTTTAGCTGGCGTGCGAAATATCTGAAGACACAATGACAGTATTTTCTTCTCCTCGTCGTCAGGTACGAGGCGAAGGCCAACCATCAAAACCAAAAACAACAAGACGGAGCTGCTGAACCCCGAAGAAGGAGAGGACAACATGGGGGACGCAGTAGGTGAGGAAACGGAGGCCGAGACCAGTGAGGATGGAAACAGAACTCTTTGAGAGTTTCAGCCCTTTGCTTAATGTGACGGCTGAATCAGTGAATAAAACGACCCCCGCGGCCTCTGACCCCCCCGGCAGGTTTCGCCCGCTCCAGCCTGAAGAACGGGATCGAAGGCTCCAACTACAGCAAGAAGGAGCGACGGCTGCGCTTCTTCATCCGCAAGATAGTGAAGACTCAGGCCTTCTACTGGACCGTGCTGTGCCTGGTGGGCCTCAACACCATGTGTGTGGCCGCCGTGCACTACAACCAGCCCGAGCTGCTGTCCGACTTCCTGTGTGAGTCCAACGCACACACAAACACGCACACGCGTGTGCACGCGCAGGGCTCCTCCGCTAAAGACGCCAAACGTCTCCTCGAGTAGTGGGGATAAAAGTTCATAAACGGGGCGGCCATTGACGCATTCGACACCCAAGTGTATAATAAATAAATATTAATATTAATCATATAAAGACAAAGTAATTGTATTTATTACGGAAAATAATGAGAGATCAAATCAGTAAAAATGTAAATAAATACGTCTTTAAAGTGAAGCATTTAAACTGTGGCAAATACTTATTTTAATAAAGATAAAACGCTGAATAGTCTCGTGTGGTGGACAAACAACATCTTTGACGCAAATATCAAACAAACAAGGTCATTCAAGGCAAGTTGCGTGCACGTGCTGCACACACACACATGCACACACACACACACACACACTTGGTCCCGACCTGAATCATCTTTTTACTCTTCAAATCCTCTGCTTCCTCCTGCACGTGCACGCCCCACATTTATGAGCTAAAAGTGTTGATCTGGTCCATCGCAGCCTCTTTATTTGCCGTCTGCCCTCCTCTACTTATACAAGACGGACCAAACAAAGCGTCGTTCCGTTGCTCTGTTTGCTCTGGTGATGAGGGCCGGCTTTACAATATGATGCAGAGAAACACGGAGCTTCTGTTGACTCCTCGAGTCACAAACATCCAGCGTTTTTACCAACAAACAAAACGTGAGCAGAAAGACGTAACGTTGTTGGTGCCGCGATGAAAAGCGTGTTTCTGCGTTGTGCTGATTTCATTCACACACACACACACACACACGCACACACGCAGACAAACAACAAAAAGAAGAAAACACACAAACACACGCAGCAAGACACACACACACACACGCTGGGGTGTTGTGCGGTGTTAGCAGAATATGCTGCTGATGAAGTACATTATTCATCAGACTACTGTAATACAGCTGGTGGCGCAGCACTACTGGACGACTACTCATCATTCTTTTCTCGTCATCCTACCTCCTTCCTATACGTCACATACAGTTATCTGCACTACTACTAGTGTTATAGGGTAGTCACCTCCTTAATA